TCTGCTCATCCGTCCACCGAGTCTCTCTCTCTCTTCGTCAGCCTGCGACAAGGTGAGGGGTAGATGCAGCAAATTATCCACTCTGCATCACTCCCGTTACACGCGTATCTCTTCGTCTCTCTCTCTCTCGCACGCGAACAGGTGGCAGGGATTCGGGGCACTTCCATCTGCTCACTCCACGTCCACCGGTCTCTTGTGCTCTTTCTCTCGACGCGACAAGGTGGAGGGATATCGCACTATCCTCTGCTCATCCGTCCACCAACGTCTCTTCTTTCTCTCTCTTCTCAACAGCGGACAAGGTGGTAGGGATCATAGAACTATCACTTGCTCACTCCAGTACCACATGTTCTCTCTCTCTCTCTATTCAACGCGGAGGTGGAGGGATCAGCAGCAACTAATCAACTTCTGCTCACTCTCGTACACGCGTCTCTCATCGCTCCGCTCTCTTCGCACGCGCAATATGGACTGTGTCAGGGTCATCAGAGGCACTATCCCTTGCTCCTCTCGGTGCCCACCGCGTGTCTCTCGTGCTCATCTCATCTTCTCTTCGAATTGCGAAGGTGGCAGGGTATCATCAGCATACCTAATCCTCGTGGCTTCGTCTCATCCTCCACCGCGTTCTCTTCTCTCTCTCTTCACGCAGCGACACGGTGAGGGATATGAGCACTATACCATCTGCTCACTCCGTCATCTCCAGTCTCTCTCTCTCTTCTCGCACACCGCGACAACGGTGGAGTGGGCGTTTCATTCCGATATCAATATGGTTCCTCCCGGCACGCGTCCTCTCTTCTTGCTCTCGCACAGGCGCCAAAACGGTGGAGGGGCATATAGACTATCACTCTAGTCACTTTCGTCAGACCCGTACTCTCTCCATCTCTGCTCTCTGACGCGACTCAAGGTGGACGGGGATCTGTCGGCAATATCACTTGCTCACCTCCAGATCCCACCGCGTTCTCTCTCTCTGCGACGCGACAAGGTGGGAGGAGATACATCGAGTAATATATTCTCACTCATCGCTCGCTTCCGTTCACACACGTCTCTCTCTCTCGATCTGCACGCTGACAGGTGGTGCGGAGATCAAATCAGCACCTTCCACTCTGCTCATCGTCACTACGCGTACTAGTCTCTATAGCCCAACGTGTACTTGGTGGAGGGAGTCTATCGAAAGGCACTATCAATTGCTCAACTCCATTCTGGTCACACGGTCATCTCGCTCGCTCTCGGGCTCTCGCACGCTGAAGGTCCGGGAGGGGTCATGGCTATCACTCTGCTCACTCCTGGACGGGTTCACCGCGTCTCTTCTCTCTCGCCACCGCGGACAAGGTGGAGGGCTCTCATGCGCAATATAAGTCCACTCTAGGTCACTCCCGCTGCGAAAGAAACAGTATGGAAATTGCCATCCACTCAAAACCCTATGATACCGCCCCTGTATATATATATACTAGCATAGTAATAAACATTTATAACTATATATATGTCATAAATCGCCGAGTATCGGGACCGACTGGGATTAAAATGCACCACACCACCTATATGTTTTATATCTAATATCATTACTATTCATAATCGCTACACCCTAGTATCCTTTTTCATAAACAGGCCGCAAGCGCGGCATATCCACGGGGCCCCAAATGTGTACCTAGAGCGATTTGCCAACCGTCGCGCACTACATGTGCACAATCCCGCAAATAACGCTGTCGGCACGCACGGCATGTATAGGTCGATTGTTCAGGCCGCGAAATATAAGGCCCTGGAACGACCATTGTAACTGGCACCCCCCACACCAGTAATTGCAATCTAGGGGGTCGGTGTGCAGAGTCCACATGTCACCGACTTATATACATGAAATCTTTCAATAGAAACAATATTACATAACCTTCAGCACACACAAAAAATAATACACCCACTTAGCATATGCGACCCGACTAATAGCACCGCTGAATCTCACATAAACAGATTACTAACTCACTCGCAAGCACATACCCATACATATCATAGTGCACATCCACACGTCCCCCACTCTAATGCTCCCTCGAAGGCATGGTTCCAGGCCCAGCGAGCAGTACTCTCTATGCACGTCTCTACTGATAACACAGCTCAAAAGCCATCCTCGGATGCGAGACCCAGTCCGTTGCCGGACCAAGTGCCAATGCAGATCGAGTACTACACACGGCGACCGCGCACCAGCGCGCCGCGCGCCGCACCGCACACACTACGCAGCGCACGCACGCCCAACACACCACACACCGCACGCAACGCACGCACACACACACACACACACACACACCACACACAGGCGAAACGATCCAGGCGGCATTCGCACACTACATAGCCCCTAACATGCCTTGCGGCTAAGCTCATGCTCAGCACTCTAGTGCGAGTCGGTGTGGGGATCCAGAGGGAGGCGCGAGTCCCCCCCTCACCCGCGCACGTAACACAGCTATTAGTGGATTCGCAAGCAGACCGGGAGTTCCTATGGCATCAAAATCATCTGCCATCACAGGGCACAAAGCCCCTCCCCGCTCCCACCCCCACCCCCGGTCAGCCGCAGCGGACTCCCCACCACACCGCCCCGCTGCGCATGCTGCTGGTCTTTGTCTTAGTGAAACTGTTATTTACTAGTGGTTGCCAAGCTTCCCCGGAAATCTGCGCGTGCGAGCGTCGATTTACGCAAGTTGATGCCTGTTGCCATAGCAATCATCTTAATTGTTCCTCACTGGGCCACCCTCCCACCTCGTGATTTGCGATCACCCTTCCCTAGACCGACCGGGCTGCAAGACTAAAGTCAATACACAACACACACGCGCAGGGTCTGTCAATGTGTGAACGTTCGTTCGATCATGGCGCTAACCCTCCCTATATTGATGTGCGCGGGTTGAGGCTAAATAAAATGAGTCAACTTTTATGCATATCTGCGGAGTCAATTTACGGAGTAAAGTTATAATATATAGTATAAATTATATTTCCTGCTACCGATGCGGACGGGAAACAAAAAAAATATTGAGATCGTGCGCGCGCGTTTCTCCCAAGATTAGTTTCAAGAATGCAATCCTCCGACACACAAGAGTACCCTACTTGTTTACCTACACTTGCTTGCGTTACATTATTTTATCTAGCCCTACATTAGCTATATAATCGTGAGATAGCACAGGCCTACACGGGCAGGGATGGAGGGGGGTACATTACATATCTCTAACCGTACAGAAAACGCAAGGGTACTCGGGTAGACCTATATCGTCTTATTGCATCTAACCGTAGGCTGTATGAACAACGAAGGGCGCTACACGGATAGGACCACGTTACAAGCCCCCCGCACAGCGTCTCCCCTTCCAATCGGGCGGACAGTGAAAGCGACTCGCGAAGAAACACAAGAGAGCGAAAGTTATTGTGATGCGAGTCTGTGCAAGATCAGTTAGATGCGATGCGAGTTTAACGCACAGCGACATCCCGGGATCCCGGAGTCGGCGCGCAAGAGTGCGTGCGACATCCCCGGATCCCGGGGTGAGTGCGCAAGAGTGAGTGCGACATCCCCGGATCCCGTGGTGAGTGCGCAAGAGTGAGTGCGACATCACAGGATCCCGGGGTGAGTGCGCAGGAGTGCGTGCGACATCCCAGGATCCTGGGGTGAGTGCACGGGAGAAGCACTCGCTACTGCACGCGGTGGTCGCTCGGCACGAGCATGCCCCTGCCACACGACATGCGAGGCAGCAGCAGATAACGTCGCATGTTCGGGGACGGGGTGAGGAGGAGGGGGAGGGGGGTGACTAACGGGAAATGCAGCGATGAGATGCGAAGATACTGCGCGCTTGGCCCACGCATAGTAGACGTTCAAGCTCCGCTATCGGGTGGTTATATAGTGAGCTAGTGCATGCACTCTCGTTCGTTTATCATCACGTTTTTCTTCATGCGTGGATGTGGTGTAGACGTCCAAAATATTGTCTATACTCCCTGCAGGTTGCGCGAATCGGTTCAAACCCGCTTTAGGACCACGTCCTTTAATAATTGGCCTAAGATTACGGAAATTAAAGTTAGTGTTATAGGGAAAGGGTTAGGCGATGGTAATGATTATTTATGTGTCGGCGCGTGGTCCTGAAGTAGGAATAATTGAACCGCAGGCTCCATCGCGCAATCCTGACCCGAAGCAAGTTATCCCTCCAAGCGGTAAGATATGACGCGTCTGATTCGATATACCCGTATAGTCTCTTTAAATAACTTTAGATTAAACAGCTTTATATTTAGTTTCCCCTAATCCGACATCTGGATCTATTCACCAACAGCTTCACAAACTGGTTAATTATTATGCCCAGTGCTAGAGTAAACAATCATTAATTATATTATAGCTGATGACAATCGCAGAATTAGGTGACCATCTGTCCCCTACTTCACCCATACACAGCATGACCCCGACACACACAGAGGTATAATTACAGATATACCAATATATATATATATATATATATATATATATATATATATACCAGCAAAATAAATATAGAGTAGTTATATACATTTATAGCCCATTATACGTAACATGAACGTGTCAAAAAACAAATCAATGTTAATATTATTAAAATAAAACTAAACTAATAATAATATAATTTTCTCGCTTCGAACAAATCAGATGGAAAAACAATCGTAGGGCCTATATAACGCGATTTCGTTATACTTTGAAGCGCGCTACAAACAAAACGTATATACCTTGTTCGAAATGTCGATTAAAAAACAATTACTGCGTAATTAATATGTTAATTACACTCGCTTATATACCTGCATAAGCAGCTCCCACGAGCAGCAGAATTCCCAGGTGATTCATCTGAACTCTTGACGACTTCTTCCTCCTTTCCTCGCCGTGTGTCTAAGACGGTGGGAGGTACCTCTGGCGATACTGCGGACCTACCAGGGCTGTCACTCCTGTGTACGTGATTATCTCTCTATGATGATGATCTAACTCCGATGCTAGGGAGACTTTGTTGTGAATCTCGGCCGTCTCCGGGTGAAAACGAAATGGATCGTACCACTGCGAGGTCCGGGTGGCACCCACGTGGGGGTGGCGCGCGGTTGCGATTGGCCGGTGGCCAAACGCTTGTTACGTATAGGCGAGCGCACGTGATGTGTTATAACCGAGCCGACAGAGTGAAGGACTTGTGAGTGTGAGAGCCTGAGAAAGGTGCATGTGTGGTCACCATTGTCTCTATTTATAGCACGTTGGCACAGGGACGCTGCGCACTGGGAATATGACAGTAGGTTCATTTCTGCCGTGGGCATATAGCGACGGGAACACGACAAGAACGTATTACGGAACAATATGTAACAGAAAATTATATGAAACGCCACCCAACCCATACCGCCCCACAACCACAACACTAGTCTCACTAACCATAACCCTTGCGCCAACACTATCCCTAACCCTAGAAACATAACCGCATAGTCCTACTGTTATATACCTGCACCCCCTATGCCAGTACCCCTCTGGACCCCCATATCAGCGCTTGGATCGGAACGGGTGACGATTGCCAAGAACTGCATGCCGACTCTACTGCGCAGCCCGGGCCAATGATCCGCAGCACGTGAGCTTTTATTCTGCCCAAACTATACGCTCCAACAACACTGCTGTGGAATGAACTGCTGGGGAGATTTTTTAAACCGCAAAGAATATATACTATTACCCCGCGTTAACAGCGCGTCGTAAACTATGGCGATGATGTATTTTTCGATCGCACATGAGTACTAGAGCACTGCATGGTTATATTCTGGTATAGTAGTATTGCTGTTGCCATGTGCTTCCGATGATTCACCATCGTAGTGTTTACATCTGCTCTTCAAGATCATTTGAAGGACTAATGACACACACACACACACAAACGTATATAATATATCTCAAATTTTGAGATTATTTGCCCCCGATATATATATGCAAATACAATAAAAGTAGTATAGGGTGCATGAAAGGTCGAAAAAAGTACAACTATATAATGAAGCCGATGTGCGCGTCGTATGATTTATCGCGGGAGGGAGATCGGGGTGAAGGCGAGAACAGACCCACGGAGAGGTCGGAGAAGGAAGTAGAAGAAGGACAGGCGTAGAGACAACGATAAACGAAGCACGGGGTTAGAGAGAGGATATGTTGTGTGTGCGTGTTGTGAATTAAGAAAGGGTAACCGGGGGCTTATTAAATCCCAGCGCGTGATTGAGGGGAGGGGGGATTCTATGACACAGCGCAAGGCTGGGGAGCGGGAAGGATGGAGGGGAGGGAGGGGGCCCAATTCTAAGTCACAGAGCGTGGCTGGGGGAGGGTGGACGGAAGACCTAATTCTAATCCAAAGAGCGTGACTGCAAGGAGAGATATCCGATGGGGCAGCGCGAGTGATGGGGACAGAGAGAGAGAGAGAGAGAGAGAGGAGGGAGGGGAGGAGGAGAGAGAGAGAGAGCATATAGTGTCGTGTGCTGCGCGTGCCATGCGTGCGTGCGTGCACACCACATGCTGTGCGTGCTCTGCGCTGCGTGTAATGGAGATAGATAGATATCTAGATAAGACGAGCAGGAGAGAGACGAGAGAGCAGGTGTAGTGTGTGTGTGTGTCTTGTCGGGTGCCTGTGTGTGGTGTGTGTGTGTGTGTGTGTGTGAGATAGATAGATAGATAGATAGATAGATAGAGATAGAGAGCGAGAGAGACAGAGAGAGAGAGGTCGCGGAGAGGAAATGAGCATCTAGCCGCCCGGATACAGCGGCGCCGCATCCACTGGTTGAACGCACGACCAATGAGCGGCGGCGGCGGCGGGCACGGAGTGGTCATCTCGGTCCTGGTACTGAGGCTGCTGAGCTCATGATGCTGCGTGTGTTACCCCCGATAACAGCGTAACACCGAGCATCGATGCATCAACAACACGACCGACTTTCACTTGCCATGAACGGGAACACGTGCACGCCACTGCGTTAAGCATATGCTCGTAACTTATAGTCGTGTGCTAGGACTTGGGATTCACCGCATGACTATTTATATATAACCCCCTCACATTGATTGCTCTGACTCGCGCTTGCTCTCGCGCCTCCTCGCTCTGTCTCTATCGCACTCGTTTTTTGAAAAAATCTCTTTGTCTGTTTGTTTGTCTCTCTCTCGCTATCTCTCTCTTTTCCCGCTTATGCTATCTTTTTTTCTCGCTTACGCTAGCTGTCTCTTTCTCTCGCCCTCTTCATTCCTATCTTTCACTTTGTCTCTTATTCCACCTCTCTCTCGTGCGCGAATTCTCTCTTTCCCCCTCTCGCGCGCTCTCTCTCTCTCTATCTTTCTCTCTTACGCTCTCGATCTCGTCCTCTCTTTCTTCTCTTTTTCTCGTACGCTGTCCTTCGCTGTCGCTCTCTCGCACGTGCGCGTTCTTTCTCAATCGATCCCCATCTCCCGTTAATTCTGGGCGAGTGTCCCGTTATGGTAAGAAATATACGTGTTATACAACTAATGGAAATTTCTGATAGCGATCGATCATGTCAAACTACTGGTAGGCATACATACACACTCTAAATTGAGAGTACAATTTCAAGAATATATACTTTTTCATTAAGATCTCACGTGATGTTAGAGGGAAATTGAGTACGCCAGGTGTGTGATTCAGCAAGAAATCTTTCATAGTAAAATACTAGTGAATATGCGCTCTCCACATTAAAATTACAACTCTGAGAAAATTGCAATTTTTTTAAATTGATAAGGGCTGGATGTACAGTTTCATATATCACGTAGAGTAGAGTAGAGTAGAGTAGAGCATATGCCATCGCCATCTACCGGCCGATTAAAAAATTTATTAGTGTTAGCAGAAAATAGAATAAATAGTATATAAGATTAAACTAAAGTACAGGTTAGGGAATATTTGAAGTCTTACGCTAAAAGCTTCTTTTCTCCACTTTTTACACAAGCCAACATTCATATGGACTACATACAAATATATTAAAACTTTACCGTGGAAATGCGCAAAGAAATAAATAAAGGTAAAGGAAATATTAATGAATACAATGGGAAAGAGAGCACTTCTATTGCTACCAGAAATGGTTTTACCATGACAACTCTATACCCATTGAAACTGCTACTATTTTGATTATTTCCCACAATATTGCACATAATTGAAGTATGCTAATTGTTGTTAATGCTTTCCACATTAAAGTTTCTTAATTCAGAAGTTATGTAAAGCATTCATCAATCATTAAATCTGAATAAAAAGATTTGCTAGTTTATGGATTACTATAATATTCCATCTGTAGACCTCAGAAATTTTATGAGGATATTGCTTGTAAGGTGCCCGCTGCATATACCAGTCAGTACAAAATCTTGTTACGTTAGTGTGTTAGCGCATTCGCAATATATCTTACCAGAAGAGTTATATTTTGTGATGAATATGGGTTACGGGGTATCTCAGCATAGATTTATGTGATAAATTGTTATCAGTCGACCTGTGTTTATAATTAGGAGAGCGCCCTACCCTAGCTGTTGAGTGTAAAACTCCTACTTCATCGCCTCCCGTCCTACCACTTGCCTCCCTTGTCCATCGCTCAGTCTCCTTCTTCTTCTTCTTCTTCTTCTTCTCAAAAAGAATGTTAGAATGGCCGAATGAAATGTATGCGTATTTGAATAAGGAAATCCGAAGCAGATGTGTGCGCGAAATGTTTTCACATCGACGCTAGACGTGATGCGGCCATGATGCCGAGGCTTGCCGAGGATTGACACTTTGTGTCTTCTAATCACAGCCTACGCCGCACCTCTGTTTGATATTTTTTATAGATGGGGACCCATAACAGCATGGAATCGCCGATCTCAGAAACTAGGGCATTCTGCTAGACTAGGACGGTTTCCTACGATAGAGTTTGGCACAACAACGAAAATAACACGCTGTTTAGCGCACTGCTCACCGTCCTTATGTTGAATTTTTACATCTCCGTAATCGGAATAAGCCTCGCCTTCTTCGTTGATGGGCATGAATGAGGCGTGACCGACGTTACCGGTTCTTGTAGCTACCGTTTTTCGCCGGCCTATTTACTTTTCGTAAATAATGAATTGCCCGGCCGATGCATTTCGCATCGAAGAGGAAAATTTTCCGCATTTTCACTCGCTGTCGGAAGTGAACGAGTGCGTCATTCATTGAACATTTTTCACAAAATACAGCCAATGTTTACATGCCACAGCGCTATCTCTTGGATGTTTTATAAGTAAATATGGGGATTTTCAATAAAATAATGCGTTTTTAATGTATTTACCACGATTTACGTATAGAAACTATATGTTATTTTTACTGATTTCTCCGTATCTTTCCTTGGAATTTTCATCGTCTAGCTTTCAATGCCTTTCCGTATATTTTTTTTACGTTTTCTGTGTGATTATTATTTTGCGCAGGCACTCATTTTGGAAATCCTCCAATATTTTTACTTCTTCCTTAGTTAAGTTAGTCCATCTTTTACTGTTATTTAGGAAGGAAGGTAAAACTGTGCATTTGTATAATTTTACTCTTGCTTCTATAGTATGATTTCCATAATTTTGCTCTTCTGCCCATATGATAATAATATTATTTCGCTCATCATGAAACGGCTCATCATCAACATTTTTCAGTTCGGACTCTTATCATATCGTTATAACCTCCTATATCATTAATTATAAATCCCCTAGGTATGAATATTTGGTGCATTTTTTGATTACTTGGTTGCCTATTGGCTTGGTTGCCTATTGCCTTGGTTGCCTTGGTCTCCTTCTCTATCTTTTCTTTGTTTGTAAATTTTAAAACCATTGTATTTCTTTTGTTCATATTAAATTCTAATCTTTTTGATTCAGCTAATCTAGAGCATGACTGAGCGATTTTTGTTACTGTTTTATAATCTCCAATTCCTAGAATATCGTTCATATATAATCATTGTCATCTTCTAAAACTACAGACCATCCGCCGACCGGTGTGGAGACGTGCGCCGGGCCTCGAATTTGGCGCACGTCTCCACTGCGGACAGCGCTTCACACTTGAACATCCCCGCGGTTGCG